ATACGATTAAAAATATATTATATAAATATATTTTTTCTATAATATTATTTTTTTTATAATATTACTTCATCATATAGTGAATAAATTCATAATACCTTATACATAAATCAAGTATTAAACCTGCTATATAGGCATACAATATTATGATGTGCAAAAGAAAAAATAAATAGTATCACTAAAGAAAACACTCCAGTTGTGTAAATAAATTGTAACATAACATATGAACCGAGAGATATAAAAATATTTTTATGTCTCCGTATAATTTGTTTGACTGTTGTAAAACACCACTTGACCGATGAAGTCTGTTAGTAACTGACATCTCTTAGCTGCACTCGTGAGATATTGCAACGACATTGTTAAGCATAAACCGGAGAACGTTAGGACTTAACAAATATATTGAACAAACGGGTGTCCCGACTGACCGCGTACATAAATCGTCCACAGTTAGTTCCCTCTAACAAAGTCCACTCGGCAGTAAAGTGGCCGCTTGTAAATCAAAACGACGAATCGAAAAAAAATATAAATATATCGAGAGACGCGGACATTTCTCGCGAGCCACGGGGCGGTAGTGATGGGACTTTTGTGGAGTTAATAATATCGATATGCAAGCACTAAAAAACATCTATCATAACATAATAAATAGAGTATTTTAATTTTAATATTAAAGGGTATCATTAATAATATTATTAATGTAAAAGGAATTTCTTTTGTTTGTTCATATTTTTTTGCATCTTAATGATATTATTTCGCGCACGTGACACCCCTAGTGTTGCAGGTGTCCATAGACTACAGTAACTATTTACCATCAGATGGGCTGTATGCTTGTTTGCTACATTCGTGGTATAAAAAAAAAATTATCAAAATGGATAATTGTATATTGTCTTATACTAACATAGTTTTCTAGTTCTTGTACTAGCAATGTGGACTTTGTAATAAATTATTATAATATTATAATTAGTAACGTCTCAACCATAGATTGACATCCGACATCAAGAAGAAGGAGGTTCCCAATTTAGTTTTTACTTTTTTTTATTTTGTTACCTCATAACTCCATCAGTTATTAACCGATTCGAAAATTTCTTTTTTATCCTAAAGAATATACTTATAGATTAGTCCCATAGAAATTTCATCAAAATCGGTTCAACAGTTAAAACAAAATAACTGAATTCGCCCCAATTTGAGTCGCATTTTTTCATGGAACACATTTCAATTCGATCTACTGTATGAAGAGTCGTGACTCATTAAGAGAGAAATTCAAAGAGGCAAATATTCTCACCGTTGCTTCTCAATTTATATATTCAAATATTCTATATGTTCATAAAAATCTTGACTTATTTCCAAAAAACAGCAATATTCATAATATTAATACTAGATTTAAAGACAAACTTGCTGTCCCCAAGTATCGTTTAGAAAAAGTTAATAGGTCTTTTATGGGAATAGGTATAAAAATTTACAATAAGATACCAAAGGATATGTTGGAATTACCCTTAAATAAATTCAAAACATCTGTTAAATCATATTTACTGAGCAAAGCCTATTACTCACTAAACGATTACTTGAATGACGAGTGTGCATGGCAATAGTTGTTCATGCACTGAATTTTCATTTAATGTTAGACATAGACACCTATATAAATATACATTGTAAATAAACTGGCTTTAAAAAAAAAGTAATTCAATTGAGTTTCTTGCCAGTTCTTCTCAATTGGATCTATATACCGAACTGGACGGTAGGGAAAATATAAAATTATAATGTAAAAATTTGACGTTCATAAGCGGCTAAAATGTCCTACATGAATAAATGATTTTTGAATTTTGAATTTTTTTTGAATTTTGAATTATTATTCCAGTAATCATTAGAAGCCGCGAACATATTTAGCAATCCATAAATTAAATTATCTTAAACGATAAATACTTATCATTTAATAAATTTATTTTCTATCCACTCATAATGATTGACATATCTATGTAATACTTAAACAAAAGTAATTTATTACACAATCTGAACGCCCCTAATCCAAATGCCCATTCTAATCAATAATTATATTATGTGCTACTAAGTAAGACCATCGAATAAATGTAAATGAAAAATATCGATACAAAATACATTGACTAGAGCACGAGCAAGTCGGGTCAATGTGGAAAGGAACGGATTTGTGCATCGCAATAAAAAAAGATAAAGCGTATTACGGGATGTCCGGAGATAAGGCCCCACTTTATGCTTTCATATTAAGTTTGTCATAAAAATGAGCGCTGTAACGCATTTTACTGCTATTGGCTCCTTTGTTAGTTTTGCACTCGTTTCCTTACAAAATATTATTTTCCACTGACGATTTCATTTCGTTATGTTAAAATAAAAAGTCTAAACAAATTTTATTAATAGCCAATGCATTGTAAAGCAATTTAAAAGCGCGCTTCGCTACCCTCCCTTGTAAAAATTTGTCCCTGATATCCCATTTTGATTGGACGGGTTGATTTATCTCTTGTTTAGACTGTACGTGAAGATTACACGCTGTTGATACTTTTTATATTCTGAATAAAACATTTTATTGCTGTAGCCACACAAATGAAATGGTAAATTATGTAAATGGGAATTCCTTTGATACAGCTCGGTTGTTAGATTCAGTCAAAATGAAATTATATTTACGGTGTGTTTAACCAAACTAATTGACGGTAATAAATTAATATTAAAATAAAAAGCTGGTTTATTTAATAACAATTAGTTAGTATATTTGTAATTGATTTAATCATTAATAGTATCAAGATGGAATAGTCGCGTTGTATACAATTGAACAATAGCTTACTCTCCCTCCAGAGATTGAAATCCTCTCAGGGAGAGACAACAGTGATTTAGACTAACTGCACTTGTTGCCACGGGACGGGACACTCCCCATCGGAGATAACATATGACACGGGGCTAATGCTGAGATTATACGCATTCAATACACTTGTTTCGCTGAACTAATTTGCTATAAATTTAAATTGATAAATAATGATAATATTTAAATGACAATAATAGCAATTGGGGGAAAAGGGATTGTTAGTTATGAGATCTAACAGTTTTATTTGTGGCAATATACTCTATCAGTTTGACCTCTACGCGCAGACGGTATTACCAATCTATCCAAGATTCTCTATGTTTAAAAACACTTAACAATAAAATTAATTGGGCCATTTATTTTAATAGTTGTTTTTTTTTATATAGGTACCTAATTCAAACAAAGCTCACAACCCCATCTGAACCGCCACCTAATCTAATTTCATAACAATTAATTATTAGAAGCAGTAATAAACAAACTCACAAACATATTTCCGATATTAACAATTAAATAAGAATTTGTTGAGAAAATTCGCCGGCTTATAAACAAATAATTAAAATGTAGACAATGTAGATTTAATAGATAATAATATTTCATATCAAATGTTCACATATTTAGAATTCTAAACCATTATTTTTTACTGCAATTTTACTTCTTTACAATTTAAAAATAACAATAAATATGAAAGCTGGATAAGTTTGGTATATCTACTATTACTAAAATATTTTCTAAGTAAATCCTCAAATATTCGGCCTTTAAAAACAACAATGAAATACCAGAAGTACAAATATAGAGCAAATACCATTGTTTATTCTAACACCTTATAAACAATATGCAACTATAGAAATAAGATTTCTTATCGTCTACCATAACGATACACAATAAATATTACTGTTATTGAATAAAATTATGACCGTAAACAGTACTGTTATTGTTCGCTATGTTATAACGTGCATAAAAATTTTGTTAATAAAAAATAAGCCCGAGAAAACGTGTAACAAATAAAAAAACGGTCCAATGCAAGTTGGATTTATACAGAAAGAGGTTCCATGCACAAAATAATACTCAAAAAAAAGACATCTTCCATTAAAAACTATTATAAAATCATGTTCAGGCTCAAAAGTGAATGTCAAACTAGCTGATAGTTGGATATAAAACAGATGTATTTTTATATCTAAAATATTAGACGATAGCGTTTTGCTTAGAGTACTAAGTATTGCATATTAAGTAATTCAAGGATTACTGTAGCAAAAAAGTATCTATTTTTTAATTTATACTTATGAATTCAATATATAAAGATCGTCTCTATTGTAACATCGATGACGCCAATCTCATCCCTTTTATTTTAAGCACACATGGATAACGCCACAATTTGAATTTTAAAAAAGTTTCTTTTTTTCGCTAATACCACAATTTAGATACACGATCCATCCATCTCCCTGAGGACCAGTTCCAAATAGAGATCAGGGTGCGAGTGTCGCGTTCTGTTCCTCTCCCGATGCCAATTTTCCGCTCGCCGCCACCGACTACGCAATTATTTAGATAAACCTCTCGGCGTGACTATAAAAACATCTTCCCTCCCCCCATGGCTTTGTATGTTGTCTTTGGGGCTTTGTGAATTTATAGCTCGGCATTACGCCGACGGTTAGGAAAAAATGTACTTTTAATTTATCTCGTTAAAGGGTTGAAGGACGACTGGGTTCGCGAAGTAATTATTCCGGAATTGGCCACTTTGGCTGATGAATCCATTCCGTTGAACCCTTTGTTGGGGGCCGGTTGTACAGTGAATTAATTTGTTTTTGACTCCGATTTTAGCGGAGTGAAAGATTGCATTACGTTGATGAGCTGAGCAATTAATTAAAGAATTATTTGTAAGATTACATCGGTTACGGTATTTCTTGAAAAGCTTTGAAAATGTCTATTATCTTATTGTTTTTCAGAGTAGCTTATCTTATGTTTTTCAATGTGATTGTGATAAAATGTAAATAAATCGAATCTATTTTGTCACAAAATTTGTACGTTAAAAGCGATTACGTTATACAATTTGTAAAAATTGAAACCTATAAGAGTACAAGTGATCACATTTTTAAAGAAAAAGTAGATACTTAAAATTAAACACTCTAATGAAAAATTCAAAGTCGTTATGTCATAAAATACAACAAAATTAACATAAAAAACTTACCTCCCAGTCTTGGTGATGATCATTTCAGTTCCGAGATCGTGGAATTTATCCCACAGCTCCTTAGTCTCAAGCTGACAGTCTACTGATAATAGTTCCTCGCAGTTGCACGAGGTGGCTGGCGGCAACGGCCGCGCCGGTGATGGTGTGTCGCGTTCACCTAATTCTGTGAAGCAACATAGGTTTCAATAATGTCGTAAAATGGACCTGATCATAATGTTGAGAATATTTTTATAATGTGACTTCAAAAAGAATGAGTTCCTTATTTATTTAGATGGTGTTTATTTTATTATATATATATATAATATATATATATATATATATATATATATATATATATATATATTATGCCAAATTTGTCAAAAATCGTGAAGTCGGTTCAGAAAAGATTTCAGGAAAATAAAAACAAAAAACTTTAAAATTAAACAAGTACTCTTTTTGAAATCTATTAAAAAAGGTTGACAGAGATGGAATAAGTTATGATTCCCTCCAAATGGATCGCATCGCATCGGATCAGAAAAAATACTACTAATACTATGCGATCAGCAACGTACAATCGCTTATGAACGTATCCGTTTCTGCGCCTAGTCAAACAGTTTCGTTCTTACCGTCTTGACATTTTCTAATTTTTGAAATGGTTAAAGTTGATGTAATATTTATAGCTATTATAAATAGAAGAAAAATAATATAATAATAAAATACAGAAGATGAAAAATGAGTGGTGCCACCCGGCTACAGCTTTGAGCGACGATAGCAGAAAGATCTGTCGTCGTATCCGATCGGATACGATGACAGGCAAACGGAGCCGATCGCACATAGCAGCATACTTTCAGCTACGATCGCGTTCAAGCTGCTGTGCTCGGTTTTGTAATATAGACTTTAAATACTGTGTACACGATTTAATAACTTTTAAAGATTGTAGAATTTGTTCCAATTCGTTTCGATGCGAGCCGTTTGGTGATAATTGGCCTTTAGAAAATCAAGAGCAGCAAAAACACTGGTATTTTCTATTTCAATTCAATCAGAATTTCGAAATTTTAGATTTAGAAAACTTATTTAGATAGAGTTGCTGTCTTTATGAATTTTCTGGAAAATACATTAATTACTATTCTCATTTTTCTGGAAATCGAATAATTAAAATTACATTACCCATAACGCTCTGACATATATTATCTCTCTCTCTCTCTCTCTCTGATATAACATTATAATTTTATTTAAAATAATAAATATTGAGTTTCTTACTGCCTGGATTCTTATTAGCTGATTACATTGCGAACCCAGCAATAATAATAGATGACGATATGTAAAAAAAGTCTATTTGAAAAAAGATGATTTGAATTTAGCATGTAACAACTGGACACAAATTTCTTCTCAAAAGAGAATGATAAACCTCGACTGACTAGTAATGGTAGGCCGGGGTAATATCTAATATATTTTTTATCTTAATAATAACACTTTAAAATTATGCCTAGGTACATTGAATCAGTCACAAAGAAAAAAGTGGTACATCAAACTCTTGTCTATAATATTCTATGCAGGGGAATCAATTTCACTGAGCGGATTATGTCACTCTATATTTGTTTGCATAACAACTAACAATTTGTTCATTGTAAGCATACAATAAATAACTAATTCCATTAAAAACTTTTGAAGCAAAATCTTACTTAAATCTTGACAATATTTGTTTTTATTATTTATTTTTTTGTTTTTCTTTCTCTTTTATATATATATATATATATATATATATATATATATATATATATATATCTATATATTATTATTTAGTAATTTTATAATTCACTACCTGTATTATTAATTTTAAAGTCGGTTGAAAATATCTAAACCTGTTTCCATTTTAGATCTATAACAACTTGTCTTAGTACTGTCACCTCTATCCTGGATATCTCAGTGTAATAAAATACGCAATAAACAATGCGTATTAATTAGAGCAGTTTCATTTTGCTGTATCTGTTCGCCTGTTGTAGTGATATGATCGTTTTCTATTCATTCAATCGTATGAATAACTGCTTACTGTGAGAACCTAATTGTATGTATGAGAAAGTCTGTTTATTGCACCGATAATTGCCTATCTAACAAGCTTAATTTAATTTTTTTCTTATGGAAAATGAACTCGCTAATGTTGCATCAAGATCGATTGCGTTCTCAAGAATTTAATTGTTATAACCATAGAAGCACATAGATTACACTAATTATATGCATGCAATAACATTTTGTACCACAGCCGAGTAAAGGAATTGTTTACCACTAATTTTTGCGTCTTCGTGGATTTTGGAAGGGTTCTTCCAAAATCCAATTCTTTCGGGGTTGAATTTTCAAACTTCCTTTCTTATTGTTGAAATCACATGAAAATAGCATCAATCTAACTCCATTTTATTAATTACAAAATATAAAATTATCTATTTAAGGTAAGTCCGCCTGTGTACCTACGGTGTATTTATTTCATGTAACAAGTTTTTACAATACGAGTTTTTATGTGATGTGATAAATAATATTAAACAAAAAAAGCATTGCAAGAGAGATCTCTTGAGAGTGTGTAGATACACTTCAAATTGGGTGACAACAATGCAATAATGATGAAATACTTTAGGCATACTATCATAAATCTCCCACTCAACTTGTTAATCTTATCTTAATAACCTAAAGATTGCAATACATCTTTGTCAAACTAAAAAAGTCCCTATTATCTTTAAACAAATGGTACAGTTGCAAACATATTTATTCTTATTTATTTATTTATTTATTGAGAATAAGGTAAATGTTAAAACTTTTAAATAAATATCTGAATATTATTAAATTTTATTTAAAAATCAGTTTGATAATGGATTTGCAGCACATAATATATCATCTGGCATCTCTTGCAAGATTCTGTTCTCCTTGTACTTCAAAGAAAATCAACTAGTTATTTTCTGCATTTTTAGTTATTTTTACATGCGACGTAAATTGTAGCTAAACTTACATTAGACACAATTTCTGCGTACTCTCATATTTCACATTAAAAAGAATTAATTTACACTGTGGTTGATATATGTAATAGACGATTTGCAATCCTTTAATATGAATTTCCTCAGTCGCTTATAATATTCAGGTTATCTTGCCTTTTATATATAAAAAAAAACTATTTATACAAACCAGATGACGGAGCGGGAGAAGGGGCCGCATGATCGGAGGCGTCCCGCTCACCGTCCGAGCATTGCTCGACGTCCACTTCGACGTCTTCATCAGGCACTGGCGAGCGACAACTGGACGCCGGCGAACTGAGGGACGCCGGCGAACTTTGTCTGGATACGGACCCTGATAGAATAGTACAGATTAATGAAAATTTAAAAGACTCACGGTAGAATTAACAGATTTTTTTTTTCGCTTATTTCATATCGATTGAGCATGTGAAAGTAGTTAAGAATCCTTCATTGCTTTGTCCTCATTTTATTTCTTTTTCCTGCTCTTTTCTTCAGACCTTTATAAATGTAAATAATAGGGGGAAAGGGATTGTTAGTAATGGAGACTAAAAATCCCATTGCTAGCAATATACCTAACCAGGTCGACCTCCACGCGGTTCCCCCTAGAAACTGTCATGAATAATTCTTTATGATGAGTACGTCATGATAGGCTGACTGGCCTGTTTTCATTCTCATAGATCACCCTTCATTGGTGCTCCGCCGGCGTATCCCGTTAGCGCAGGCAGGGTTATCAATCCATTTTCATCCAACAAAAAAAAATGTAAATAATAGATATATTATTATAGAGTCCAGTTGTTAAATAAAATCATAATACAATAAAACATTTTTTTTCTGAATTATCTATTTATAATAGAATGATAAATGTAGATATTGTTGTGTTTCAATCTGATGAATAAGATAGCCAGTATATAAATAATGGCAACGTGTAATAAAAAAATTAGTATACAATGTGAAAACGAAACCATTAGTATCTTGAACATTATTTTAATAAAATATTGGTCAAAGTACAACGGTCCCATACATATTAATTACCAGTATTGATCATGCCATATTTAGAAAGGACTAAAAAGTTTTTATTTGGAAAAAATATTCATTTTCTGTAGTTAAATCCATTCAACAAATGTTAATGATTCTAACTTTACTTTGTATTAATTAGTACTTAGACTTATACAGCGCTTGTGTAATAAATCTTAACCCCCGTTTCTACCAAAATAGATAAGTCGTAAAACACAATGCTTGCTATATCAATTATATGTACTAGAATGTATTAAACAAATATAGTGCTGGATACAGTACGGTATTACATATATTCATATTTATATTAAAACATATTATATAAAGTATAGTGTTTATACCAAGTTATATGCCAATAATAAACGATGTTTCTCTATATGGTTGGGAGAACTGTCAATTTCTATAAAGTTAGATGATTAAACATATACTACAATACAGCTACTCTGTGACTAAGAAACGCTAATACAGATTTTTTCAAACCAAATAGTATAGAAATAAGTATAAATTAAAAGTTTGTATCTGAAACAATAAAGCTTATAATAAGTTTACTATTGTAATCTTTTGGAGGAAACAATAAAGAGTATCTATCTATTTATCTTTTTTAAACACTTGTGCGACTAAAAGTACAAAAGGGACCTTCACCTGTCGCCCACATAAATCCTTTTATTAAATTATCATTTCATTTCACAATCTTCAGGTAAAGGTATGTAAATTAAATAACAATTTGTGATATCTCTCGTCATAAAATATACCGTTGTGCCACCCATTTTTTTATAAATATTTAAATTTATTTAAAATTACAGTAAATATTTTTTTATGACTTGCCCTTTAAACTGGTAACTATCGCCAATAGACTTGTTCAAGACCACAGAATACACTGTAATATACATAGTATAAGTAAATTAGGTATCCACAATATAAAATTCATATGATAAAAGTGTTATAAGTCCATATTTCAAAGGATAAAAGTGTTGTAAGTCCATACTCCGTAATTTCACTGCCATATCCAAGCGAAAAACTGTCATGGAAGCACAGCTGGTTGGCGACAGAAACACGAATGGAACAGAATAGAGTTACCTACCCATACAGATGACTTCTGTACAATTTCCTTATAATAAAATATTTACAGTTCACAAATTCTGTAAATACTCTAGTTTATTAAAACTTATTCTGAGATAAACAAGTGAATATTAAGTATCTCATATCAAATACAATATATATACTTTAATACCTAAGGGTTTACAGTCCAATAAGAAATCACATCGGAGACGGAGTGTTCTCTTACATAAAGTACATAATTTAAAGTAATAACAGGAAATTTCTTATAACCAAAACCGGAGCCCTGGTATCGAATGAGCACGGTTCCACGCAATTAATCCAAAATAACGAACTGACCCGCAACACGACGCCTGCGACTGCGCCTGCGCATACCACACCAATTAGTATCGAACCCTTTAGTTTCGCCTGGACTTTTATTGTTCTTTTATATAGAACTACGAAAAGTATTATACATGAAAAGATAATAGTGCAATATAGGTACATGATATTTCTGATATTTTTTTATATTGTTATATATATTAACATATTATATGTTACAACAATAGTAATTAGTGATTAATCATGAAAGATCTTAAGCTGTTGCTAAATTTTTTAGTATACGTAGCATAAATTTTTTTTAGACATTTTGAAAGTTTAAAAATCAAAAAAGTTAAAAACTGAGATCGTAATAAATTAGAATAGGTCGTATAAGATTGGAATTGGCAGAAATCTTACATTTTAGTCGGTTGTAAGACAATTTTCTATTTTATTTGTTTATTCAGATAACTTAATCTTATAATTTATAAACCCATTTAAGTTTGACCCATGAGTTGTTATTTAATATCTGTAAACATTATAATTGATAAACAATCGATCATTTCTTTATCTTTAATATTTACAGACGTTAGAAAAATATTATTGGAATCCATAAATCATTACTTAAAAAATTTAAATATACCTACTATGATCTTGTTTACAAGATTTTTAATATATTTATATATCTTGCAGAATATTATGTAAAAAATTAAAATATATTCTTGTTTAGAACATTTTTAACATTCTTGTGTATCTTGCAGAAAATAATGTTTCGCAAAAATTTTATTTTTAATTATCCAATGTAGTATATTTAATTTATTTTCCTTATAACTCATTTTCAGTAATAATGTATAATATAGATAAATTCTCAATCAATTAAAGCAATATCGTTAAATCACGTTTAATAGCTTTATGAGTATTGACAGAAAAATATTTATATACATTAAGGTTTACTTTAAAACTACTTTCATAAATACATATAATACCTACTAAATATTAAGTTAATTTGTATTTAAAACAAGATACACTATTTACCTACCATTCAAACGGTAACCGTCTTTATGAAATTTATTTTTCGTCAATAAATTTAACTACGAATCTGGAAGATAACCTACAATGCCACATACAAATACATACAATCTTGTACCTAAATCATTATTCCCTTTCCTCCTTTTCTTTTGTCCTATGATTATGAGTCGAATTCATAGCTGAAATTACCTAATCACAAATTTAAACATTACTTTCATTATGATGATAATTAAAGCATGAAATAATTTTGACATACTACGCGATGCACCTTATATTGCTCGACTTTAAAAAGCTACTTACTGATTTTAACAATCCTTTTGACGAGGTCTTTCTAGTTGTGGTATTCTCAGTAATTTAAAGCGTCAGACTTAAACTTCTATAAATTGTAACCTAACTTTATGTAATTAGTTTTTTACCTAATCAATTAGTGAATGTTATTGCCTTCTTATTTTCTGCTGATATAGACTTTTTTTTATGCAACTTAGAATGGAAAACAAGCTGACGAACCACCTGATGGAGAGTGGTAACCGTCGCCTATAGACATGAGCAGTACTATGGACATAACAGAGTATACTGTTTCGCCCATGATACTCCCCACGCGTTGCCATTCCTGAGAACTCAGGTGTTATTCCTCTGTACCCTGTAAATTCACTGCCATATCCCACCCTTCAAATCGAAACACAGCCATGCAAACATAACTGCTTCACGGTAGATACACGAATGGGACAAAGGTGCCCAAGTAAACGACTTTTGTACAAAGTCTCCCTCTGGTTCTGTAGTACCACAGGGGTCGTAATTGGATACATTATTTATTAGCTTTATTAAGGGTCTGATTGATAAATTCAATATTATTATCTAGGTATAAAGTTCATAACCCTTTTTTTACACCACTAAGGTGGCAAACAAACATACGGCCCACCTGATGGTAAGTGGTTACCGTAGCCTATGAACACCTGCAATACCAGAGGTATTACGCGTGCGTTGCCGACCCTGAAGAAACCTCTTTACCTCCCTTTTGAAGAACCCCTACTGTAGTCTCTTGGGAAAACCTCGGCAGGGAGCTCATTCCACAACCTGAGTGTTCGTGGAACCTTTGTCAGTTGTATTTTTCTATTATCATATTAGCCGTTACCTAATGATTGCTGATCATAGGTCTCCCCTATAAAGGGGGAGGTATGTTAGTAATTACTACGCATTGCATGCGGGTTGGCAACCGCAGTAAGTCTTAGGTGATGTTTTAAAAGGGATACTACTGTCCATCCTTTGACCAAAAAATTCCCTTAGTCGTCTCTTACGACACCCACGTAAGGAGGGAGCGGCCCATTCTATGACCGGACCACACGTCAAGTTCCCTAAGTATATAAGGGAAATTCTTTCAATTTGAATTTTAATGTACCCTATTTAATTATTTTATAACTTAAAATGTTACAAAACTACTCACATTATCTACCTAGATACATGCCTCATATCAAATGTGTATTAACCATTTTGTGTTCAAATACTAGGTTGTGGCATATAGGTCGCAGAGCTAACGTAACGTAGTACCAGACCTGATAACAATTTCAACCGACATCAAAAAAGAGAAAAAAAGGTTGTTTCAACCGTGAAGCAGCTGTTTGCATGACGGTTTGAAGGATGGGGTATGGCGTGAATTTACAGGGTACAGAGGAATAACATCTGAGTCCTCAGGAATGGTAACGCATGGGGGGTATCATGGGCGAAACAGTATACTCTGTTATATCCATGGTACCGCTCACGTCTATAGGCGACGGTTACCAGCTTCCATCAGATGGACCGTCAGCTTGTTTGCCATTCTAAGTTGTATAAAAAAAGAGGAGGTTCTCAAATCGGTTGTATTTTTTTATGTTTGTGTTAAGGGATTAAGGTGTTTTTTATGTTAAGGGGTACCTTAACTCCATCATATATAAACCAATTTGGAAAATTCTTTTTTTTTATTATTATCTGAAACAAATATATTTTCAGAAAATTTCTATAAGACTATTATAGAAATTTTATCAAAATCGATTCAGTAGTTTAGTTGTTAAATCAAAATGACTGATTTTTCCACGATTGAAGTCGATTTTTTGTCAAAGACAACCTTTTTATAATGAAAATGAATCTATATAACTATATAATATTTGGTTGTAAACAGAAATAATAACTAATAAACTAAGTACTTTAAGTGATTTGTACGTGGGGTACAACACCGTGAACGATATGAAATAGATATATAGACAGACAGATAGATATACTTATTGTTGATTATTTAATTGAAATATTTTTTTAATTCCGCTACCATTGGTATGTGTGCGACGGCTGACACAAAATGTGCGTGAACGAAATGGCAGTCGGATATGGAAAGTTATAGAACTTCTGGTAATAATAGTAGTAGCCAATCATCAAGAGTTACCAGACGCACACATACTAATGGTAGCGGAATTGAACAAAATAATCACATAACCAGTGACATTGACTTTCGCAAAATAATACCTACCTAGTTTAGTAAAATAATTATACTTATTATGCATTCCATAAGTGGGGTACAATGCAATTATATACAATAATGTTTTGCCACTCCTAACATTTAAGGTTTTATTGCCTCTTTCAATAACCATCGCCTATAGCACACTAGTAATGGTTACAACACCATAAATTATATTATATATACTAAATTATTCATTCTATGTTATAAATTAGAATATGACCTACCCGCGTACCAAATTTCAAACCCATTAAGTAGTTTTCACAGGAAAGGGTAACAAACATCGTTACAAACTTTAATATTTATTCTATTAATAGAATAATGGTTCGTTCCTTTAGGTATGTTACTTCATATATCATTGAAGACACAGTATAATCCTTAATGTCCTGCCACCCCTTGAATAGATTTCAGTGCCTCTTTCAATAACCATCGTCTACAGCAAACTATTAATTTGTGGCTATACCTATAGTGAAGCTATTATAGAATATACGTCTTATGCCTTCCATGATTATGACACTACCCCTTTTCATTTAAGGCATAATATAGCTATATGTTACTACTAAGGTTTTATTACTTTCATATTAGAAATTAGGATACGCTAACCATCTTAACACTAGAAACTGCACGCTACTTTATTTCTATCTTTCATAGCAAGTGTTACTCGTTTTAGAGGAATTTCTTCAAAACTGGTAAGTAATCATCACTAAGACTTACTTTTCTTTTATTAGTACCCTATTTAAAACTTGAAACGTAGCAAATTATTCAAAATATTTGTGAAAAAATTCCAATATGAAAACTATAGATACCTAAGTAAGTTCTGCGAGGTATTAATTATATTATTTTAAAACATTATAACTTGTTAACTTTGACTAGTGACCTAGAGAACACCATTACACTATTACGTTTATTTGTAATGTTTTTAGATTAGGCCTAACGTACCGGTGTGGGGCGGCGAGCGCGCGACGGGGCTGCGCGGCTCCGCAGCGCTCCGAGCCATAATGGCCGCGATAGAGAAGTCCGTGGCTCTGGTCTTGCCTTCCTCCGCCACCATCCTGTCACCTTCCGACCTCCAACACTCCACGTTTTCCACATCCATCAAACAACTATCAGTTCCTCAGTTCAACTCTTAGACATCCGTCTGCCATCTCACCGGCACCGTCCGTAACATTGCAATAAAAACATCCTCGACACCGAAACAGATTTTGAAAACGGTTTATATATTATTATTATGAAAATCGTAAATACGTTGAAATCATATCGAGTTATTTCGAAACATAACAAAAATTAAACGAAAAAAATTGTTTTGTTTATTTTAGATCACTGGCCAAAACATTATATAAGCACTCGCTAATGATCGACAAATAAAATTATCGTTGCCCGCGTGTCAATAGCTGTATCGTCCGAGGAGAGGAAACACACAAGGTAAAACAGCACGGCGGCCGAGCGCGGACTGAGCGCGCGGGAGCGGCACGCGCGGGGCGGGGCGGCGGCAGGCGGCACCGCCCCGCGGCACAACCACTGGTCGCTCTACCCGCTGTCACCGGCATTCCCCCTCGCTGCCACCCCTCATTTGCTAAGCTTTTTATATCAATAAAAATATCCAGTTATAATTATTACGCTAGTGTTATTACTTAATACATTTTTAAGTATCAACAATAAATTTTATTAATTAAAACAAAATAAATGTCAAACTAAAGCTAAAATATAAAACATACTTATCGCTGATAAGTTTTAATACACACAAAAGTCGTTTAAAAATTAATAAATTACAAAACAATAATAAAATATACTTCAAGATGGTGTCAAGTGAAAACGCGCGCGCAACGAGACGTAGAGAATGCGCCCGCCCATAAAACAGTCCAGTGGATTAGAGTGAGAAAGAGCACAATAATAATGAATGATATAGGTACGCGCGTGAAAGAGATAGCTATGCCTATGATAGAAAAACATTGCATGCAAGAAACATGTTTGTCAACATTTATAATTCCCATTACGAAATACCATATTAAGGTAAGTATTTAAAGAGAGATGCGACAAGAAAATTAAATGTATTTATTCAATTAAAGGACCAACAAATAATACAATGGAATATAGGTAGGTATTACTTACGAAATCAAACTGTAAATGTAAAATTAGTTTTAACAAACTATCTGAATATTTACATTGTTTTATTATTTTTAAATGCTATATTTAATTATTATTTTATACATGATCATAATTATCATATCAGCCGTTAACTGTCCACTGCTGGACACAGGTTCTCCTCATAAGGAGGGTTTTGCCAGTTCTTGCCACGCTTGGCAAGCGGGTTGACAACCGTAATTGGGTTTGGTGATATTTTAAAAGGAACGCTGCTGCTTTTTAAGACCATTAAGTCTCCTTAGTCGCCTTTTACGACACCCACTAAAAAGGAAGGCCGTGTGGCCTTATGGTTGCCTTGTGATCGTAAGTAATAGGTATCACCTTGGATAAGTACCTATATGTATCTACGATATATCTGAGATGAGTCAGTCTAGGTCTTCCCCTATACGCCTGCTACACGACGCTCCCTTACTCTACAATTATAAAGGTAAATCTGTTGGTGGATATTATAAGGACCTGGACGAAATAATGGGCTCGTTTTGAAAGAGACCACAGCTATAATTAATAGCTTTTTATCAGCTTGTTTGCTATTCTAAGCTGTATAAAAAACCATACAGTCAGCAACAAAAAAGTAAAGCTCTTTTTAACAGACTTCGTTTATTATCTAATAACTAATTATTGACTAATATACCGAACTACGCAATAGAAGCATGTTGAAAAAACCAATCATGTTTATACTACGTAGGTATCAAATTTATATTATTTAGATATCTAAATGCTATAAATATTTATTTTTTAACAATTCCTATAAGTTTAAGACGATGATTTTTATTACATTTAACTAATCAAATTATGTTAATTCTATAATGTATAATACTTACGTAGGTACCTACATATGCTAACTAGGTAACTCTTAAGTACCTACATAATTAATTTTATTTATTCATTATAATATCTAATTATAACTCCAATACCTACCTATCCTATCTACCTAGACGTTTAAATAAATTTAAATAAGAAATTAAAACTTCCTATTCTAATCTACAGAGGTTTTTATGGTAAATAGATAGCAACTCACAATAAACAAAACATAAAGCTCAATTTTGATAATTCAAACCCATTCTTATCGCATTATTTAAAGTAAGTACTACAACTTTAAAAATAGTAAAACATGTTTTCTCATGTAGTGTAACCGGCATACTTGCACGTTTTTACATATTTTTTATGCAACTTAGAATGGCAGACAAATTGACGGCCCAACTGATTGAAAGTGGTAACCGTCGCTTATAAACAGTACTATCGACATAACAGAGTGTACTGTGTATACCTATGGTACACCTCATACATTGCCATTCCTGAGGACTAAAGTGTTATGCCTCTGTATCCTATAATATCACTGGCATATCCCATCTTGCAGACGGAAACACAATAATGCAAACACAACTTCTTCACGGCAGAAACATGAATAGGACAAAGGTTTCCAAACAAACGACTTTTATACAAAGTCTCTCACTGGTTTTACATACTACCAATTTAACAATATGACCGATATCCCACCCTTATTTGTTTGTAATGCTTCATACTTCAAGACACATTGCACCGACATCTATAAAAGGCTTTTAATAATTCACTCCCCTTTAAACGAAATGAGAGAACAACACGAGCGCCTATTCAGGCGTCGCGAGTCTTCATGTATTAGGTATAAACCGTGAAATATTGCCTTCCTCGGCGGCCCATATCGTGGCGCCAATTTCAAATCATTTTCCGTTTCTGTATCTACTCGTAGGGTGAACGACATAGACATTGATATAAAAGATAGACGACGCAAATACGGTATTAGTATGACGTATCTATCTACCCTGCAAAGAGCCTGATTTAAAGACTAATACATAGTGAAACTTCTTATCCTGTTGATACTTTATATACCTACCTAATTACGCACATTTGTTCATTTATGTAAGTGAAGTCAAAAAACAATATGTACATACTCGTATATAATATAAATCAATAAAAGAAATCCGATAACGAATCTAAATTAAAACTAAAAACCTATAGAAACTCAAAATGGTATACGGTACTGAGTAAAAAGTGGGAACCGCGAAATATTAAGAAAGGAGGGAACAAAGCGAACGACGGGAGATAGCACAGCACCGGCACCACATAACTATAAAAAAACTCAGTCGCACAGCGCTCTCGTCGAATACTCGCATTATTTGCGAAAATATGAAAAATACTGCGCACTTAAGGGGCTATAACTCTCTGGGTGAGGCATTAAGAGGCATTATGGGGCACTCCGATGTTTTTCAATTTGTTGAAATGGCGTCTGCGGCGCTCTCCTTTACGGCAATAGGTACGTTGAATATATCTCATGGCAGCCGCGGAGTCTCTTTATCGTATTTACCAACACAATTCCATATCTCGGCAACTTGTTATTTAAAATTTTCATCCAATTTAACTTGATCATTATTGTTCTTAAATATTATAAACTGCCCTGCTATAGGAACCTTTACATACGCACTTTTTAATTAAGTTAACAAGAATTTGACAAACGTGCCACCTAATATTATATTATTTTTTTCCACGGTGTAACTGGATCAACACTTGGCCCAGGTAGAGATGCAAGCCGAGTATGTTTTCCTAAGCTTCTCCGAATCCTGGTAGATTGGAAATCGGATTCGGAAAACTACACAAAATCTTCTCATCAAAAATACCTCAAAGTTTGAAGACGAAGATCTTTAACCAGTGTAAATTGCCAGTGATGACATACATACCCAAAATATGGTCCTACACGGTTGTTATACAAAAGCTTTAAGTTACATAGCGAGCTATGAAGAGGACTATGCTCGTAGTTCCTTTGCGTGATAGTATCCGAAATGAGAATATCCACAAAAGAACCAAAGACACAGACATAGCCCGAAGGATAGACAAACTGAAGTGGTAATAGGCTAGTCATATAGCTTAAAGAATCGACAACCAATGGGGAAGAGACGTTTCTGAGTGGCGATCCCGTACAGGCAAATGCAATGTAGAATGGATGTGTAACTAGATGAAGTGACGGTTGACGACCTCGAATGCATTGCAGAGAGTCAGTGGATACAGGTGACTCGGGACCGTTCCTTAAAGCGGTCTATAGGGAAGGCTATGTTCAGCAGTGGACAGGTAACGGTTGTCATGAAGTACCGACGTTACAAATATTATAACTACCACATTGTAACATATCAACCAGAGGGAGATTTTATACAAAAGTCATTTGCTTGGGCACCTCTGTCCCATTCGTTTTTCTACCGTGAAGCAGTTGTGTTTGCATGGCTGTGTTTCGGTTTGAAGAGGGGGTTATAGCAATGAATTTACAGGATACAGAGGAATAACAGCTGAGTCCTCAGGAATGGCAACGCATGGGGATATCATGGGCGAAACAGTATGCGACGGTTACCACTTTCCATCAGGTGAGCCGTCAACTTGTTTTCCATTTTAAGTTGCATAAAAAAATATCACTGCTAAATTGCTACATAACGACTTTCTACTAAGATCAACTATATTCTTTATATTTAGGTCAAAATACAGATATATGTAACCTACACACAATTGACATAATACGTATATTTGACATAATGAGAAAATTTGCCGTAAGGAAAAATCTATTCTCCCAATCCGATTTTGAAAGATAAAATTAATAATAATATAGCAAATAAGATTAACGTAAATACATCATAGAATTAAAATTTACAAAAGCAGTCACAACATTATAAAATGTCGGAACTCATAATTCATTCTCAGAGTCAACACCATTGACAAGCACCTATAATATAGGAAACGGCAAAAGAATAGAAACACGGAACACCACATAAAAGCATTGAAAACAGGCACTATTGTGCAAAAATACTGGTGTTAACGCAACATGCGGCCGCTGTGGGCGCCATTTTTTTATTTCAAATTTCGAACGTCAAAACGTCAATGAGCCTTTAAAACTCCAACCAAATATTTGTTTGGAACACACATGGCGACAGGCCCACACAGGACGTTAAATTGTCCAGATTGTGCAATATTAGAAAGTTGTAGTAAATTATTGCTTCTCACTTAAAATGTTAACGGAATCAAATCGTCAAAATATCAGTCACACACATACCGTGAAATGAAGTTTCAAATGTACGACGTTACTGTAAAAATCAATTTTGCAGGTGCTAAAGCTTTGAGCGTAGCACTTTAAATCATTAGAAAGTTAGATAATGATCAATAACAATTACCTGCCTACTTATATTCAACATATAGATAGGTATTTAGGGAACAGTAACTAATAAAATACTGAAAATTTGAAAAAAAAATATCGGCAGTACCTGGTAGGTACCTATGTTACATATATTAAGAGTACGTGACCTAAG